ACCCGCAACCGTGGACCGCACCTCTCCGGCTGTCCACTCTTCGAACCGCGGCCAGACCCCTCACCAGCTCCCACCTCCCTTATCTCTCTGTTCTGAGGAGTCTTCCAGCTTCTCCGCTCCCCGGATCCCCCGCCAGGTAGCCCGCTCTCAGCCTTCGCTCCCTTCCCCTTTCGCTACTTCGCAGGGTGGCCTCTCAGAGCCCGCACCTGTCTAATCACAGCTTCTTCCCTCACCACTTTGAGAGTCCTGGGGCCAGGTTAGGGCCCCAAGGCGGATGCCAGCCGCAGTGCGGGGGTGGGGGGGAGGAAGACACGGTATAGGGGCCCTGGGCTTGCTCCTCCCTCTCAACCCAGGAGGAGGGAGGCGGCCAGGGAGAATTTTAGAAGTCGCTCCGAGACGGACAGGTCCTGGGAGCAGTAGCAAATCTGCGGGGGGGAACACGTGCGCACAGACACACAGACACACGCGCACACAGACAGGCGCATCCCTCCTGAAAGGGAGACAGCCGCTGAGCGCCCAAGACTGGGCAGGCAGATCTGCGTTGGCGTCCCCAGAGGTCAGAGAGGGTGCAGGCCCCAGGGGCACACGGTCTGCACCTCCGCGGTGGGACCCGCACACCCGGAGCGCATTTCTCCGCAGACCGGCCTCTGGGCTTGGGTGCCTGCGGCAGCCGTGACACTCCTGCGCCCCCTGCTGTCTCATCGCGGCCGCGCAGCTGGACCCCAGTTGCCGTCTGCCTGGCCTGGGGTCCCCGTGGCCAGCTCCCTGTACAGAACCGATACCGTTTCTGGCCTCCGCTTGACATGAGACTGGCTGGGTCGGTGGGAAGTGTCTGGACTAAAGGGTGCACTTGGGTTCTCACCTGGCCATTGCCAGAGACTTGCTGGGTGACCTTGTGTAGATCCCCTCCCCCCTTTCTGGCCTCAGTTTTTCCATCTCCCTCACAGGACTGCCAGGCCCATCAAACCTGAGAATGACGGGAAGGCAGCCAGTGTCCCGACAGGCCTCCGTGTGGTCTGATCCCAATCCTTCCCTCTGCACTGCCGGCCCCTCTCTCTGCAACTCCCTCAACGTTTCAAGGATGGCTCAGTGAGCCCCCAGTCTCACAGCCTCCTCACTCACTGGCTGATTCATCCTGGGCCCTTTCTCCCTGGGGAGTAATTTCCTCAAGGTTGGGTCACTGAATCCGGTCCCTGGACACGGTCCAGGCACCTGGCACACAGGCTAGGCAGATTCCCACCAGCTCAGGGGGAGACGCACCCATGCCAGGATTTCTCCTACCTCTCTTTCTGAGGCATAGCTATAGACATGCTTCTTTCCCTGCTCAAACACCTTCAGTGGCTCCCTCCCACCAGACAATAAAGCCCAAACCCTCAGCCTGACACACCAGACCCCTGATTTGTTTGGCTGCCTCCCCATCAGTCCTTAAATTTATACTTCCTGCTCTACTCAGACCAGTGATTGACTCATTCTCACCTCCAGGCCTTTGCTCATGCCACCCCACCCCCAATGCCCTCATGTCAGCCCTGCTTATTCAGGGGCCAATTGGAGGTCCACCTCCTCCAGGAGGGCTTCCCTGGCTGCTTCCTTAGTCCTCTAGGTCCTCCTTTTTGTGTTTTTCCTGGGCATCTTGGCTGGAGACTCGGGGAGAGATAAGGAGGTTGCCTGTCAATGAGTGATCTGGGCCAAGTCAGTATGTCTTCCTTCATCTGCAAAATAGGGGCAATTTGTCCTATTTATTAACTGTGTAGAAAGCATTAAGTGGGCTATGATGTGTAAAGATTCTGGCCCACAAAAGGGACTCCTTTCCCTTTTATGGCCTCGGTTTCCTCCTCTGTAAAATGGGTGACCAATGTAAGGGCTATTGTAAGGACAGAGTTTGAGTCTGGTGCACAAAATCCCTTGGTAAATCCTGAGCATATGTCACTGGTTAAATCCTGGGCATTGGAGAACCTGGGTGGAACACAGGTGCCCAGAATGTATCTGCTATGGCCACTGGCCAGAGCCACTTGTTCTTCAAGGCAGGTCAATGTCAGACCCTTACAGTCAAGAGCTAGCACTGACCTAGGCACAGCTGTCCTCCCAGGGTCATCTCTTGGGCTCCCAACTCTAGCCAGAGCCTTCTAGCACTCACCTTTTGAGAAGTTATTTCTTAAATCTTACTTGAAACTCATACTGCAGCTCAATGACTAGGGCCCTTTGTGAATGCTCTATGCCTCCCTCCACTCAAAGTGATTCCCTCTGGGTCAATCTTTCAGATTTAAGCATTCCTCAGAGGGTTTGAGTCCTAACTCTGTCCTGGACTTGCTGTGTGATTCTAAGAGGTCACTGTACATCCCTGGGACTTACTTTCCCCATCTGTAAAGTGTTATCACACTAGACTCAATATCACACAGAAAACATTTTTTTTTTTTTCAGTGCTTGGCAGGATGCAGAGCCCTTCCACAAACATCCCCTCACACAATCCTTGAAATTCCCCAACCAGACCCCTTAGAGAGCAGGCAACCAAGTCTCCACAAGGTGGCAAGGTGGCAGGTCCCCCGGCCAGGAAGTGACTCCACCAGGCATGATCCCTGCTCCAAGGTTAGGATTCCTCCTCTCCCTCACAGATCCTGGCTCTCACACCATCCCTCCATTCTGTGATTCTGTGCTGGGTTCTCACCCTGGCTCATGTTCGAATCACCTGGGGAGCATTTAAAAATGATAATGCTCAGATCCCCACCTTCACCCTGGATAATTTTAAATGTTCCCAGGTGACTCTGAAGGGTTGCCAGGTTTGAAACCCTGGATTAGAAGCACTTCATCCCAGGCTGCCCTCAGTCCCATGGAGGCAAGAGTCAGGGTTGGGCACCTAAGGGCTGAATGTGTACCTCTGCAGCGGGCGGGGGGTCTGTGTCTGAGGGACTTTAACATTTAATGAGCACTTACTATGTGCCTCATATTTAATCTTCCCGACAACCCTATGAGATAGGCACTATTACTAGCCACATTTTACAGATAAGGAAATTGAGGCACAGAGAGATTAAGTAATTTTCCCACGGTCACACAGCTAGAGTATAAAAAAAGCAAACAACACTGTTGCCCTTCAAGTCGAATCTGACTCACAGCGATCCCATGTGTTTCAGAGTAGAACTACTCCATAGCGTTTTCTTTGCTGTAATCTTTACAGAAGCGGATTGTCAGGCCTTTCTTCTGCAGTGCCTCTGGGTGGGTTGAAACAGCCAATCTTTAGGTTAGTGGTCGAGCGTAAACCATTTGTACCACCCAGGGACCTAGCTAGTGAGTAGCGGAGCCAAAATTCAAACTCAGGCCATCTGGCTCCAATCTGTGCCTAAAATTCATGCCCTGCCTCCCGAGGAAAGTCAAGTAAGGAAAACAAGTTTTCCCTGCTCTCCTTTTGTGCCCAAGAATGCAGCAGCTGGGGGGTCCTGTGTTCCCAGTCCTGGCACCCTCTGCTCATATCTGTTGTGAGGAAGCCCAGCTCCAGCTTGGGAACACCTGGCCCAGGCCCTCTAGCCACCTCCTCTTTGATCTTAGAGGCCACTGGGCTTATGCCCAGTGGCCCAGCTGTCCTGGGCTAGGTATTTCAGGAAAAGGTGGTTCAGCCACAAGCCTGTCAACCCAGGTACTAGGACCACTCAACCTCAGACCCTGTCTAAGAACAGGCCTTTCCTTGTTCCTAATAATAAAGACACCTCCCATTGGCAGGCCATTGGGCTTACAAAGCACTTCCTCTTCTAGGCTCTAACCAGCAGCCTCGGGAGGCACTGACTCTAGTCCCATATTACAAATGAGGAAACTGAGGTTCAGAGAGGCATAGACATTTGCCCAAGATTACACAGGAACGTGGACCCAGCCCCATTGGCTCCAAATCCAGTGCTCTTTTCACTAAAGATGAGTATCTATGTGTAACCCAGGCTACCTTGGGTATGTTCACTCTGACCACCTCCACCCACTGCTCACAACCTTCACGGTTCCCCATGGCCTTCAAGGCAACATCCAAACTCTCAGCATCGCATGCAAAGCTCATCCCCAAATGACTTTTTCCTGCCTCTTCTACCATCAGCCACACCTGACTCTCAGCTTTACCCTAAACTTCCGGCATCTCTTCCACTTCTTTGCCTTTGCTCAGACTTTCCCCCCAGACTTTGAATGCCCTCCCAAAGGCATATCTGCCTGTCAATATCATGTATTTATTCAATTATTCATGTCACAAATATTTGCTGAGACATTGAGGATAAACAATTGAAAAAATCAGCTCTTTCCAGATATAGGAAGAATGTTCCTCCTGCTCAAGATCTCCCCCTGTCTGCACCGTCCTCTCTCACACACATCCCCACGCCCCCACTCAGGGGCAGAAACTGTGTCTGATCCTTCACTTCATCCTCATGGTCCAACCTAGGCTAGGGACACAGTAGTGCCCAGAGAACTCTGGTTATATAGAAGGATGGTTTCCATCTCGCCATCTCTCCATCACCTACAACCTGGTAGTAGCAAACCCTCGATAAACCCTAAACTTAAGTTCCACCCCCAGCCCCCATGACGATGTGTGCTGCTTCCAGGAGCCTGTCTGGTACCTAACGTACATCTATCCTGTTGCCACTGACTGTGGTCAGACCTCTGGAAGCCCAAGTTCAAATCCGAGTTCTGCCCTGAGATGCTGGGTGGCCCCAGGCAAGGCTCTGGCCCTCTCTGGCCTCACCCTTCTCAGCAGCTGTGAGAGTTGGTGGGGCTCAGGCAGCTCAGGAGTGGGGAGGCAGGGTCTGGGCAGGCTTACTGGGCAGAAGGCAGCTCTCCCGGGCAGG